CAGCTCATTTACATATTTAAAGGTACAGACACAGAAACAGCCTGTTCTGAGCAGGGCTGAAATAGAGGAGTTTATAAGCATGATCAAATACAGGATCAGAGTGGATTTAGAACAAGAAACTTCACACACATGTTTTGAGGAGCTCTGAGACATATTTACACTGGTTGAAGAGGAGGAGAATATGTGACCTTTAACTGCTTTTTGAGAGCTAGTTTATGTTTCACATCGCCTTTTAAGTGAAACATAAAAAAGCTAAACGCAGACCCAAGATCAACAAACTTTGACTTCACTGCCTTTTTAGGATGCTGTATTAATATTAAGAAGTTTTCTTTCTTTTACTGTAAACGTTTAAAACTAAGAAAACATATGCTATAAAATATGTAGGCTACAATATGTCCTGAACTTTAGAGGAAATGGAATAGGAAGTGAGTGGAAAATTACAGGTCAGATGCTTTGTGGCATGTTGGATGTTCTTTAAAAACTCAAGTTTGTGTGGGTGTTTTTATATTTTTATGTAAACAGAAAAGTCTGCAGAAAAGTAGTGCTTGGCAGACGAACACACAAGGCTTCGTTCCAGCATTTAACTCCCCCTTTAAACGTCAAACTGTGGCTTTAACATCCCTCTTTGTTTGCTGATTACATAAACTGTGATGTAATCACAGCTTTTATAAGTCAGTTCATCACCTTCTCCTGATAATGTGTCTTTACAATAGCAGGAAATGTGCTGCCAATATAAATCTGACATGACCAGTGTGTTCATGCACGAACGGTTTCACACACACTAACGCGTCTCTTATGAAACATGACTCACATTAATTTCCTGTGGCCGCGGTGATGGCAGACTCTCGGGGGGGCAGTTCTGCTCCGAGCGGCTTCCTGGGAGCGCTCAGGTGGGTGCAGCGCCGGCCGAGCGCCCGCCACGACTCATTCACTTGTAAATTGGGGGAAATAACAGGAGCAGATGTTCTCATTATTTCTACTCGGCCCAGGAGCTCCGTCGGCAGTCAGGGGTTTTGGACCATTTTCAACAACTTCTCATTTTGCAGAGAATTGTGTCCGCTGTTCTCCACAGCTCCCCCGCTGCCGATGATGACAGGGAGCGTGAGGAAAACAAATCTGAATCTGCTGCTGGGTTCTCATGTGTGTAACACTCAACAAGCCCTCGTGATAATGAGAAACAGGCATGCCTTTAGTCTCAGGTCTCAACCAGCAGTTCTGATATCTAGAGAAACGTACATGGACGCATATTTACATCTTGCATAAGACAGACGGCATCAATTCAAAAGAAGAACTTTACATTTGTACAGTTTCTCCTTCCTGGCTATTTAAGTTTTCTTTTATTTACTAACCTCATTTAGGAGATGATTTTTTTTTTTTTTTTTAAAGATTTTTTTGGGGGCTTTTTGTGCCTTTATGGAGAGATAGGACAGTGGATAGAGATGGGAATCAGGGAGAGAGAGAGTGGGGAATGACATGCGGGAAAGGAGCCACAGGCGGGATCCAAACCTGGGCCGCCCGCTTGGAGGACCATAGCCTCCATACATGGGGCGCGCGCACTAACCACTGCACCACTGCACCACCAGCGCCCCCATTTAGGTAATGTTTTTTTAATAACATTATTTCCTCCTTGATACGATATCTCGACTTAAAGCAACTTTATGCATAAATTTGTGTGGTTCACCCGAGGCATTTTTGCCTTATCGGATCGGACAGCTGAAGAAAGACAGGAAATGTTGGGAGGAGAGAGTGGGGAGGGTGGGACACGCAGCAAAGGGTCTATGTTGGATCTGAACCCACTGTCACTGAGATAATGACTGTAGCCTAAGTACATGGTGCCTAGCTAGCTGGCATCCATTTTCCGTGTATACCTAACTGAAATGTCGAGCCGACTGTGTCTTGTGTTGTGTTTTTCTTTCCCTGCATGATGGGCTGCATCCTTGAAAGATTTCTTGTCACATAACAGTAATTTTCTCCTCAATACTGAGTGTCCCTGCTCTCCTTTTCTACGCATGAATACGTTCAGGTCTGAGAAATCACCACTCAGGCCTTCACCTTCATACGTGAGCGACAGAAAGGAAGTGAGCGAATTCCACCTCGACACAGCAGCACCACGACGCAAAACTCACCACCATCATGCCGAGCGGACGAGTGTTTGCAAAGCTCCTGTCCTCCCACTCACCGAGCATCAGGAACACTCACAAGGTTGTGTTTGCAGGATTGAATTAACGCCTGTGGTTTTCTTAATGTGCAGCATCAACAAGAGCTTAAAAGCAGGCGGAGGTTTGATTGGAGCTGCTGCTGCTGCTCCAATATAATTCCACGGCAAACAACGCTATCAGGAACACCAATGACCAGGCTGGTATTAGTGCTGACGGAACCATAATTGGATTTCCTGTACAGTTAATTGAATTGGGCAAAACGAGTTTCTGACTTTGACAATCCTCATATCCTGACATCAATACCCGATTAGACCGTAGACCATGAATATTAATGGCCTAGGCTTGAGTGACATCACTCATCTGTTCCTGCAGGGGGCGCTGGAGTCTCATCGATGGTGGCTCCGTGCTGGAAATGCCGTCTCAATCTAACTTTCAGTCAACCTAACGACAGGCTTTTTTGAATGGGTGTGTATGTGACTTCCTGTGCTTCTGGAGCCAGCCTCTAGTGGACACTCAGGGAACTGCAGGATTTTTGCACTTCATTTTTCTGCTAGTTAAGTACCCAAAAAGTAAAGCCAAAACATACATTTTTATTAGTACATCCAATTCATAACAAATGTTATCTTGAGACGCTTTTCAAAAGAGCGGGTAAAAAACCATATTCTCTTTGTTATGTTACGAAAGAAAAATGGGATGGGATAAGATGCAGGAATAAGGATAGAGTCAAACAAAGGGGAAAATGTGAAAGGCCGTTACAAGAGGAAGCGTGAGCTGCTACTGAAAACTACCGTACTGCTGTATGGTGCTGCTGTGATAAAAACATCATTAAATTATACTCAGATACATTAGCTCGTCTGTAAACATATTCTCTTCCTCAGGTCGGTTTCACGCGGTCGTCTTGACTACGATCAATGCACGTGCGGGGGTAGCAGAGAGAACTATGATTACCTGCCAGCCTCGACGTCACCTTTTGTTATTTCAGTATTGATTGAGAGCCCCCTGGTGGAGGAATCTACAAACTGTGTCTTTAACAAGATGGACAGATTTTTTTGTGGCCCTGCTTTTAAAAAAAAAAAACATGTTCAATTGTAGTCTTTAGGGTATAGTTTCAACCCCTTGTTTTCAAACTTGGAGAAGAGTTTAGTTTTAATGATGTACAGAAGAATTCATGTAGAAACGCAGCATTTCAGCCTCCTCGTTTGGTAAAAATAACCAAAGTGCGGTTATCACATACATCTCAAACTAATTAGAAGATCATTTTAAAAGAAGAAACATTTCATTTAACATTACTTTAGTCCGTAAATTGTTCCCATTAAGATCCTCCGGGCCTTTAATGAGTCTTTAACGCCGCTCTGTGTTTTCTGCAGCTTGATCTCCACGAGTCGACGCGGAAACACCAAACCAAAAGGGGCACGGACCGACGAGGCTGCGGCGCTGATGAGCCTGCGGTGCAGCGTGGGTAATTAGGCGGCTCAGACTAATCAAGCATCACACTCCTCCTCCTCTCTTCAAGGAGCAGCTGGATGGTTCTTTAAATGGGTTACAGTGAATCAAACTGAGGAACATTTTTCATTTTTCAGCTGCCAGCTCTCATCACATCAAACACCTGAAGAATCAGATTCTAATGGCGTTGGTTTCTCTCAGAACGACTGAGAGCACTGACATCGGTGTGATTGTTAACACTCGACGCTGTTTACTCCTTTCAGCCATGATTGATGCAGACAGCAACAGCACAAAATTCATTACTGAAATTGAAAACAAATCAGGGAATCTATCAGAAACAAGAAGAAGACGAAACAATCAGTGGAATAAAATTAACTTCTATTTTAGATGTGCAGTAGCTACGTCTGCTGTTGCCCAAGAGGAGAAGAAACGTAATAAGCAGCCCACAAAGTTCATGACCTCGAGATGGAGCTCAGCATGAGTTCAAGCAGGAAGATTGTCCGCAGTCCGTCTGTCATTTCAGCGCGATCGCCGCAACCCTCCTCAACCCCAGTCACCTCATTTCCAGCAGAGTTTATCTGGTGTTGATTTAATGTCAGCCTTACGTTTACCTGGAAGTCCTGATAAAACCTGCCATGCTTTGCTGGCAGTGCAGAACAGTGCATTGTTTCTATGAAGCCTTGCCATTACCCGCCTGTCATGACCTCGGTGCCCCACTATCCGAATCGCTGATGTAGGAAATGTCTCCTTTGAATATGACAAAACCTTCCTTTCTCCTGAAAAGGATTGATGAGATATTCAGTGTTTCAGAAAAGTTTCATGTGTTGCACTTTTTCCTCAAAGTTCATGGCAAGAAAGCAAACATGGAAATGCAAAATATGTCCTTGAATGCATCACACAGATAACTAACAGATCATCAAAACTGGAGTTGGTCGTGCTCAAAGTTAATCCTCACACAGCTCCTTAAAATGAAGGTTTTGATTAATCAAACCACTGTGCTGTTTGGTTTCAAACTAATCAGAAAGGGTTAATATTTTCAAAAAATGCTCAGCCAACACAACAGAACAAAAATGATCCCGTGGTCACCTTACTGCACCAGCAACACAAGCTGCAAATGTGCTCGCTCTGGTGTGACCGCTGCTGAAATACAAGGGTGTGTGTGTTCACAGCGATTAAGCTAAACGTCTCCCGGTGTGTTAGTGTGAGTGACATATGTGGTTTAACAGTTGTTGAACAACAGTGGAGCTCTTTGGAAGCGATGATAAAGATATATCAGGTACAAGCAGAATACTTGTCAGTATAGGTAACATTCAGTGTTGGTTTAGCTCTGCACACTGGAGTTTTCTGACAGTATGAAAAACATACAGATAAGATGATGTGCAGGTTTTCAGCCGTGGCTCAGGCGCCTTTAAAGAGATCCTCCCACAGGATGAAAGCCGAGAGCGGTATTATCCCCTGTGGAGGCCGACGGGGCTCCGACAGGATTTTTCTCCAATAGCCCAGCGTGAGAAAGAAGCTCTTCAGAGTCACGGTCGATTCATCAGGGTGCAAAGGAAGCTGAGAAAGCTTCACCTCTGCGGGGGAGCCAAAACTCCTTCCACCGAAACCTGCCAAAAGGAAACCAGAAGATGGAGGTTTGGGGAGTAAAGCGTCAGGAAACACAGATGGAAAAGTGGGTCAATTTTTGTTTTTGTTTTACGTCACTTTGTCGAGTTAGTCGATCACAGAGTCAAAGATTTGTGCCATGCTTTGACAGAAAATGCATCAGGCTGCGTCAGTGTTAAAAGGCTTTAACACAAATCGTTTCTGTAAGAGGTCAATTTTTTTACTTTTTCTAAAGAAGTTAACGCCCTGTGTCCACCTGACTATTTTAAATTGTGCCCACAAAGGACAACAAGCAGGCCGCTGCGGCAGCACCAGGCATCCATTTTCTGAACGCTGTGCCCTTTTTGTGCATCCGCTCCGAGCGCTTCTAGTTGACAATCTTTGTGCATTTGAGAGAAGCTTTGTTGACTTCACCAGAGCTCTTTTCAACCAGCTAACCAGAAAGTAAATCAGTGGAAACTCCCTGTATTTCTGCCTCCTATGGATCGTGTCGTTACCCGTATCCTCTTCGCTACATTTACATCCTTCTGACTTACTTGATTTTAAGGAGGAAGTGTCAGAAAAGGGACCACGGGGAGCTAGCTTGTGGTAACCAAGCGGTCATAGCAACGTAGATTTGTTGGCTTTCCCTATCATTATGAGGCAGGATTCAGCTGGAGGATTCAGCTGGCCTTGGATTGTTCACTCACTAATAGGGTTCATGAGCCGGTATTGGACCGTCGTGAGACAGGTTATTTTTGCTCTACTGATAATGTGTTGTTGAAATAGTAGATGTCAGGGCCGTCATCATTCGCGTATTCAGCTCATCATCCAAAGAAAGTATGAGGGCAAGCATCCTCCACTTGATGCTCATAGTGAAGGAAAAAAAAGATCTCATATATAAAACATGTAGTAAAAAGTATCAGAGCAGTGTCGGTCACAGCTGCCATTGTCAGGAATGTTTTCATTGAGACAAGATGCAAGTGCAGCTTCTTCATTCTCAGGCGCTCTCAAGCACACAGCTGGTGTAGGTACCAGATGTGCTCAGATGGTCAAATCTGCTCGAGGTCCTTCTCCTGTGTTTGTTATGATGATGTAGCACGTTGTGATTGGCTGAACGAGTTGGAGAGAGCGATGGATGTCTCCACATGAAAGAGGAAGAACTCAAACACACAGCGTCCAACAGCCAATCACAGTGTGCTACATCATCATACAAACGTCACTAGCAGATAAAGGAGCAAAAAAAAAAACCCTGCAAGGTGGACATGGCCCTCGATGGATTATTTTTGTCCCTTCCACGGCAGATAATTGTGTGCTCAGTGAACCCACACTTACTATTTGGATGATTTTGTCATAAACGTTCCTGACCAGGGGGGTTCGAGTCAAACAGCTGCAGAATCAAATAAAATAAATAAAGATTTATTCAACTTTTCAGCTACAGCACTACAGTGTTCTTTAGTCTTTGTTCCTTTTTGTGATAGAACATTTTATTAGAACAAGTGGTCAAACTCATCCAGAGAAGCAAACAAACCTCGAGACAAAGTAGACCCTGCAGGTGTGACCTCAATCACATGCCAGTCCTTGTTATAAGACCAAAGAAAGACAGCCAAAGCAGCCAAAGAATTAGGAATGTAAGCTGTTGGCCAAGAACCTTTCAGTGAAAATATTTCAGTCTTTTTGGTTGCCAGATGGTCGTCAGAGCCAATCAACATTCTTTTGTTTTCATTAACAACAACATAATGTCCACTGCTTGATCCCTGCACCATTCCTCCTCTACTCTGATCATCTGCTAAACAATGATGGAGTCACATTTGTCAACAGAGCTGTCAATCATGACATCACTTACTGTTTTTATATCAAATAATTGCAGTAGAAGTAAAGTTCACAGAAAAAAAAAAAAAAAAAACTTGGACTACACATCTCATCTACATACCGTCATATGTGTTGTTATACCTGGCTGATGCTTTAGGCCGTCAGAGATCAGCGCTGTGTGTTTCCTGTCTCCGTACATGTTTGTCCCGGCCTCCCTCTGATAAAACAGCAGAATAACAGAGCAGGCCGGCCGTCTGCATGAAGAGATAAGAAGCTGCAGACGAGGGTTATGACGAGGAGCCAAATGTCAACCTGTCACTGCAGTGATGAGTCACAGGGTGACATTTCCCCACAGAGGTGCGATGAAATGAGGAGGTAGGGGGGTAGGGGGGTTTATGTGTTGGGGTCAAGAATCAGGACCATTTGCACCATTTTCCATTTCGACGGCTACATGAATAAGAAGACAGCTCACATTTATGCCATGAAGGATGGGTTTTAATCATAAACCGACAAACCTAAACGTTAACTTTTTCTTTTTTAGTGTATGATTTCTGTTTAACCAGAAATAGGCATTAAAGGCAGCTACCATTTTATTTAAATCAACAAGAGTTCATTGACAAAAACAGTAATTTTACCTCTGGAAACACAGGAGCTGCTTGTCTACCCTTGCCTCAATTGAAAGCGTTTTGTTTGTGTTATCCTGCGTTGAACAAAGTTTTTGCTCGGTTCAGACCGATGTTCTTCAAGGTAAAGTCACAGTTTGTAGTCATCAGAGTTTGGCTGAGGGTGAAAGAACTGTAGTTTCAGATCTGAAATATTTATCTGAACAATCCAACATTTGCAAAGAAGAAATTCTTCCAGCACCTTAACGCATCTCCTTCTATCCTATTTTTCTTTGGTAACATAACAATGAGTAAGGTCTTTTAACTGCTCTTTTGTAAAGCGCCTCGATAAAACACTTGTTAGGATCTGTGGGGATCCTTCTGTTGTGTTGTCAGATGCTTATGTTAGGGTAAGGGACTTTGTGACTTTCAGCCCAATGCATCTGTGCTGCATTTGTACTTGTTTCGATTTTCATTATCTAGTAAATTTGATATTGTAATTTAAAACTCAAAAAAGGGACATTTGCACTTTTTCAGTTTTCAAAAGCTGCTGTAACTATTTGTTTCCAACGGACCAAGCCCTCTTAGATTTGAATTCACAAATCTAAGAGGGCTTGGTCCGTTGGAAACAAACTCTTGCAGAACAAAGAACTGAACTCCGGTCCGCTTAAAAACAGGGGTCTCGGAATTTGGTTGACTGTAGGGAAGTGAACCAAAATGCAGTTAATTGTGGGTTGAATTTGTCCTCCTTGCATGTTAACGTTCAATTTAACCTGACAGAGCCATACACAGTAACTTTTGCATTCGTCCATTGTCCTTTAATTTACTTTCAGGTCATAGTTCAGCATTAGGCCGGATGGTAATATACACTGACTGGCGCTACAGCCACAACAAGTGGCAGGTAGCTTCAGTACACAACACTTGGTGTTCTTGACAGTGCAGTGTGATAGCAAAGTGAACCAAATGAAAAATGCGACACTGTTACAACTCCACCGCTGAATTGCACAGAGTCCACCAGACTTCAAATGGTAGAGTGAGCCAAGATATCTTTGGACGCATACAACTGAAAGTTACCAGTCAACAGGGTGACTCTTAAAATCAAAACGCCCCTACCGTTATGTCTGTGCATGGAGGAAATGTTGGAGAAAGAGAGTGGAAACAGTGTGCTAATGGTGTGTCTGCAAAAAGTTGACCATTGTAGTGGCAAATAGTTTGAGCTCTCTGGTGCGCCCTCTCTTCTTTAAAACAAGCTGGCAGTCATGTCACACATGAACTGACACATCCAGTGAAATACAAAGCTGATGATAAAACTCCTGAGCTATTCCAGCTAGGTTTTCTGTTCTCTAGGCTAAAAGACTGACACGAGATGACATGACAACACTTATGCTGTACAAATTTGTCCTCAAGGAGCTACACTCCTTCAACTCAGACTGCCAGATGTTGAAAAAGGACCTGAAGGCAAAATGGGACTGGCGATGTGCAGATTGTGCAGAGTTTAAAGTCGACAAAATTGTCTGAAAGTTTTAATGGACAGGAAATAAATAAGGAAGAGATAGTGCCTAAGACAAATTGGTTTTCTTAAATTACAACACAGCCTGAGTGGTCCTGGATACACCGCATTAAAACAGCCAGCGTTAAATCCTGCCACAGATCTCTCAGATTAGGAGTAATTTCGGGGGATTTGTGTGGCAGTATGGTTGGAGATAAGAATGACTTAAATGAGCAGACAGTGTGAATGTTTGACATGGAGATAGTTTCGCACATGGTTTGCATCAGTAATGAACACACAAATGTACAGAACACGCCGGGAGATCTCTTCATTTCTCATACAAGAACATGACAGATGATTACCAATGTATGAACAGTGAAGTTTTAGGGCTTTACAGAATGATGTGATTGATGATGAGTTGGTGATGGTGGCTGGGCATCAGGCGGTGGTTGGGACGACACAGTCCGATGGTTGTTGATGGGTGTCAGGCGGTGGTTGGGACGACACAGTCCGATGGTTGTTGATGGGTGTCAGGCGGTGGTTGGGACGACACAGTCCGATGGTTGTTGATGGGCATCAGGCGGTGGTTGGGACGACACAGTCTGATGGTTGTTGATGGGTGTCAGGCGGTGGTTGGGACGACACAGTCTGATGGTTGTTGATGGGTGTCAGGCGGTGGTTGGGACGACACAGTCCGATGGTTGTTGATGGGTGTCAGGCGGTGGTTGGGACGACACAGTCCGATGGTGGTGGCTGGGCGTCAGGCAAATTAACTAACAAAACAGCAGACTTCTCAGAGTGTCTTTCAATACAATCAAAATACATTACATCAGTTAGTTGTGGTAGCATCATGTCCATCACAGGTAGTCATTCCCTGCAGCATACCTTGTGTCCTTCAGGTTTGTAGTTTCCACTGACTGGATGAATCCACAGAGCAACATGTGAATTGTAAACCTCATTTTGGACTGATCTACCCCCACCACCTCTCACTTTTGATGCGTCCTGAGAGACTTTGATGCTGTGGAAAACTCTGCCGAGGGATCCATCTCTGATCCGATTGATGGTTCTGCTGATGGTTCAACAATCGGCTCCCATTGGCAGCACAGATCTGCTGCACCGC